CATATACATTATCTTGTACCTCGATAGTGCTACAGTGGACATAAGTCTTTATGGTCAAAAGCCGCATTCCAATGACGTAGCGAGCATTGAACAACACAACCTCGGAATCCACCCAGCTGACACCGCTCCCCGCCCTGGAAGCTCCATCACACGGACGATTGGGCTCAGCATATCAGATCCGCCAAATCGTGAACGCCACATAGTTTGATCTCAAATACCTTTCCGTCTTTCATACTTATCTATACCACCTACTCACACCGCCCCTCAGCAAATAGTCGGTTACACAGCCTACCTCAGCCGGTGCGGAGAAGCACCATGACAATCGATAAGCGCGATTTCGACGCAAATCGTCCGCTCCTCGATACAGAACAAGATACAGCCGACCGAAGCGCAGAGCGATCACGACGACATTCACGGAGCTCCGGTAATGACGGACTCGTTCGGAGTGATGATGGGCTATTGAGCGATGTCGTCGAGGAGATTGTCGAGCGGGACAGACAGAAGATGCAGAAGGAGGTTACCCGAGTGCTTAGTTTTGGCTGGGGTGTTGTTACTTGGTATGGGAGATTCTTCTCTTTACTTTCATATTTACGAGAATATCACAATTGGAGCCTCGAAGCTGACTTATATTCGTCTCTTGCAGTTTGGGAGCTGGCAGTATCACTGCTTTCTCTTTGTATGGCCATCTACTCCTTACCCGACTCCATTACTCGCAGCTGCAGGTCAATGCCGTTTCCATTGCCGCGGAAATCGCAATGTACCTTCCCGTGCCCTTGTTCGGCTATCTGTGTGATCGGTACAGCCCGTCACCACTGGCTATGTTCTCGGGACTGGTCTTCGGCATCGGATATCTCCTCGCTGCGTTCACGTATAAGAGCGGCCCGCCTGATGCTGCGGGTGGGTCTGGATGGCCGTTTTGGGTGATGATCGTGGCGTTTGTCTCCATTGGTATGGGGACTAGCTGCATGTATCTAGCAGCCGTTGCGACATGCGCCAAGAACTTCGGCAGGGGAAAGCACAAGGGCATTATGCTTGCTGTTCCTATTGCGGCGTTTGGTCTCAGTGGTATGTGGCAGAGCCAGCTCGGGACGTATCTGTTCTATGAACGCCTCGAGGATGGGAGTCACGGTGATCTCGACGTTTTCAAATACTTCGTCTTTTTGGCCCTGCTGTTGCTGGGGATTGGCATCATCGGTACCTTTGCATTGCGCATTGTGGAGGATGATGACAAGTATATTGATGAGACGGTTGAAGAACTAGAGCGCAGTGGACTGCTGGAGGAGAGTGATTTCTTCCGGCCTCGGAATGAAATCAGACAAGCGGTTGAGTACGGCACGTTCTCTTGTGCATTTGACGAGGAGCAATCAGCCCTGTCCGATGAAGAGCGCGAGCAGCAAAGACTAGAGAAGGAACGCGAAGAAGAAGAGCGCCGGAAAAAGAACTGGCTGCTCAACTATGAAACCCGTGTCTTTCTCCAAGACCACACCATGTGGTGGCTGGCCGCAGGCTTTTTCTTGGTCACCGGCCCCGGCGAATCGTACATCAACAACGTGAGTTCGCCCAAAAAAGTCAACACCACATATAACTAACCTGTCCAAAACAGTTGGGTACAATCATCCCAACCCTCACACCTCAATCATATCCCGCAGGCGCATCACCTCCAGCCGGATCCCCCTCAACCCACGTCACAACCATAGCCCTAACCTCAACCATCGCCCGCCTCCTAACAGGCTCACTTTCCGACTTCTTCGCACCACCAGCAACACACCTCTTCCCTCCAATCCCCGAAGGATCCCGACACACACACCCCACATCCCCTTCATCCTCACGCCTCACTCTATCCCGCATGACCTTCCTCATCCCCTCAGCCTTCCTCCTCTCCCTGGGCTACCTCCTCCTCGCCTCCCCTCTCCCACTAGCATACCCAGGCATCTTCAACCTGACGACCGCGCTGATCGGCTTCGGGTATGGCGGCGCTTTCTCCCTCGCGCCCATCATTATCTCCGTTGTCTGGGGCGTCGAGAACTTCGCCACGAACTGGGGTATCGTTGCCATGATGCCCGCGGCTGGTGCCGCGCTCTGGGGTATTGTCTACTCGGCCGCTTATCAGAATGCTGTAGATCGCGGTGACGGTGGCTTTTCTGATGGCCAGTGCCGTGGATGGCGGTGCTATGGGTTCTGGGCTGTCGGCTGCACGGTTAGTGTTTGGGTTGCTGTTTTGGTTTGGTTGGCTGCTTGGAGGGGGTGGAAGAGGAGGGGTGTTGTTGTTTAGTTGATCTTGGTATTTGCCTCTAAGATGATCTGATCTTTTTGATATCTGCGTTTCATATGGGCGTTAATGGGTCCATACATTTTGGTTTAGCATTTGCATATAGCTAGGCAGTTTTCATTATTTCGGGTTCTATCACACATCATTCGAATACGATATTTGTACAAGGAAAGAAGAGGCAATCGCTGCGTTTTCAGTTGGAAAACTACTTGGACTACCCTGTACCAACCATCATCCAGTCGATGGCAATATGCCCCATAAGCCAACAGGAAATCTATCTCCTTTGCAGTACAATATCCAATTCTCCAGCCGGAGACGAGGGAGGGTATTAGAAGCCCAACTACGCGGACAAGTAACCAAAAGATAACCCGACGCGCCAAATGGATGCAATACCAGAATGCAAAGCCACGCTCTGCGGTAGCCGGGCTAAAAAGGGCAATCATAACCAAAATTAAGGACAAAAACAAACCTAAATGTCCGTCGAACTCGGATCGAGCCCAGTGAACACTTTGTACAGCCGCCTACTAGCAGCAGGACCAATGCGCGCATTCGTCAGGGAGCCGTTTTTGTTCGCGGATTTCTAAAACAGTCAGCAAGAGATTCAGATTCCGACAGAAACAAAAACAAAGCCAGAACACATATGAAACAAATCCGGTATAGAAATCGAAAAAAAAACCTACCTTGATATCCTCCAGCATCATAGCGCCATGCATCCGCATTCCACGAGTCAAATCCGCAACACAGGGATACTTGCTCGCAATCCCGTAAGCCATCGGAGCCGTCACGCGGTTGACCTCCTGAATCATCTTGATGAAAGTATCCTGCTTATCGACGCCGGTTTTCACCTGTCCAGTATCCATACAGAAAGCAGCATTGTGAGCTTCCTGTCGTTCACGACGGTACGGGACTGTCGAGATATGTTCGGTGAAATTCTTAATCCACTCCGCGGAATCAGCGGGCGTGGTCGTGTGGTGGATGAGACAGGAATGCGTGACCTGGAGTTCGAGCAGAGCGTCTTCGACAGTCTCGTCGTCGACGAGGGGCGTGGCGTCGGGCTTTTTCTTCTTCCGGGCTCTGCGAGCTGTGGCTTGTTCTTCTGGTGCGGTTGTTTCGGCGAGTTGGCGCAGGACTTCGGCTTGGAAGGCTCTGTTGCGTGCGTTTGTGTTTTTGCGCATTAGAGACGTCAGACCTTCGATTAGGTAGATGGGTTTGCAGTCTGGGTAGGCGCTTTTTATTCGGAGGACGTGGATTTCTAGAGTGTCTCTTTCTTGGTCCTCGTCGTCTGCTGGTGGTGTTATCATGTTGATGAACTCTTGCGCCGGTAGCAGACATAGCACGTGGTCTTCGTTTTGGATGAAGGATGGACAGGGTTCCCAGTGGCGTAGGGTTTTGTTGTACGTGGCGTTCATTTTGCGACGCCATTTGACAATGTTGGGAATTGCGCTTGTGAAGAATGTGTGTTCGACGCCGAGCCGTTTCATGAACTCGACGGTTTGAGTGCCGACGCTGCTGTCCTCGAGGGAGGTGGCCATGTCGATGATCATCTCTGGTGTAGAATCCTTTTTGTTCACCTTTAGCTTGTTGACGCTGGCGATATCGGCAGCTCGCTGTTTCTCTTTCGCTTTTTCCTCTTTGAGCTTCAGCTTGCGCTCTTTCTCAAGCTCGCGTTCTCGTTCTCGCTGCAGCTTTGCCTCTTCGCGGGCTTTGGCCTTTGCTTCCTTGTCAGCGGTAGTAGCCTTGCTTGTCTTCTTTGTTGTCTTCCGCGGTGCTACTGGTTCATCAATGTCGTCGTTGGAGAGTACCTCTGTAGCCGTAGATTTCAAGCTGGCACCTTTCTGTTTTCGAGTACCAGACTTTTTTTTGGCGTCCGAAGTATGCTCGTCGCCAAGACGAGATAATATACGAGCAGTCGACTCGGAGAAGATAGGATTCGAGACAGTCGGTTTCTTCAGTAGGTCAGAAAACTCCGGGAGAGCGAACGGATCGCTGAATTCATCAATATCGCTACGCCCACGCAAACTCGAGGGTGGAGGTTTCATGGGGTCCGACAATACGTCATCGTCAAGCGCAATAATATCCCGGGTTGAAAGATTCGGTTTCCGCGATGAAGGCTTTGGCAAAGGAACCGGGGCCGAAGAAGTAAATACAATTGGATCCGACTCTTCAACACGCGACTGCGACGGGTCCTTCTCCGCGCCAGCTTTTACTAGCGGCAGGTCAAAATCATCATCGGAGATCGAGAACCAGGGCTCCGCCGCAGAAGCTGGAGCTCGAGGTTCGTTTGGTGTGGTACTTTGTCGCAGAGAGGAAGTGTCTTCATCGCTCACTCGCCGTTTCTTCGCGGGCTTGTCGAAGACATCTTCGTAGTCGAACAGGGATGTGTCGAACGGGTCTGACGAAATCGTATTGACCTGGTGGAGTGGACGTCGCGACGGGAGTTCGGCTGGCTGTTGCAGATTTGGGGGCTGGGCCTTTGGTGGAGTAGGAGGATCGGAGGATAGGAGATCTATTACTTCGGGCATGTTGGGAGATCCCAATGCCACCAGGGCCGGCGATTAAGGATATGATCAATTGATAGAGGGGGACGCGACGTCACCGCGAACAAAACACGAGGTCATGTGACTGATATGTGTGGTCAAGTTGGGATAGACAATGTTCAGTGCGAGAGATGGTGTAACTTGAGAAAGAGTAGATTAATGTAAAGTACACAGATTTAATGTCTGACTATGGATTATAGCGCTCGAAGTAAAACTGCAGCCATCACTGCAAGAACAGCCCCAACCAGACTGAGAATGACAAAGACCTGCTGCCACCCATTGAATGGCCTTCTTCCACCTTTAAGCATGGTAGAGATCTCCTCTTCTAGCCTATCGCCCATAGCAGTGAGCGAGAATTCCTGCTGCGCCCTGTTCTTGCCAGCAAGAGCCATGCGTTGAAGATCCTCCTGACTCAATCCGTATAGTACCTTGTCCATTACAGCAGTCCACTCTTCATCTGCGTGAGCGTCCCGGAGCCAGCCCGTTTCGCCCTCGACAATCGTCTCCAGTGGACCACCAGTATTAGATGCTAGTACCGGGAGACCAACGCGCATTGCTTCAACGGGCACAATACCAAAGTGTTCGTTGATCGGTGTGTAGAGAAGGAGCTTCGATTGCGCCAAAAGGGTATTTTTGAATGCGGTTGGAACAGAAAGAAGGAAGAGGACATCAATGTCGTCGGGGATTGAAAGTGCAGATACGACTGTCTTGGAGGTTGCGGTTTTCAACCCGAGACTGGTCGCGAGCTCATCCAGCTCTTGGTGGTAGTGAACATTCTCGTGGACACGATTGTCGTAACCGCCTGCAAGATACCACATTAGAATCCATAGAAATCGCAAATTCCTGCAGAAATCCTTACCAGCAATCACCAGCCGCGTCCCTTTCCTCTTCTCCGCTCCTAGTCCATTATAAGCGCGAATCGCCAACGCCATATCCTTCTTACGCTCGAAGCGATTGATGCTGAGCAGGATCTTCTTCCCACCCCAGAGGGGGTCCTCATCCACTTTCTCAGGCACCGATACCCCGGAATCCATATCGACACACGGATAGACCACCTCCACATCACCCAACCGGTCTGAGCCAAAGACATCTCGCACAACCCCGCGGGAGAACTTAGAGTTCGCAACAACCCGATCCGACGCGCTCATCGCCCAGCCTTCAAACCAATCAAATGGGAACCGGTACAGCACCTTCGCCAAGCGAAGAAGCGAACCGCCCCTCATCTCGGCGGGCGAGCAATTGATCCGGGAAATGACAATAGAACAGAATGCGCTGCTGTCGGGAATGGCGCGGGCGGGCGAACGACTTCAAAAATGGCACGCAGGCCGGCAACTGGTCCACAATGAAGATATCGTCTCGGTCCTCCTCGGCGGTTGTAGTAGCTGTCCCCCTTGTCCCAAGCTCACCTAGTAGAGACACGGTAAGATGTAGCTGGCGCAGCGCAGCCATGAGGATGTGAAGTCGGCCGCAGACATGGGCGGGGAAGAGGGTGTTTCCGCGCACGCGGACGTCCAGCGTGCCATCGCGCGCCTCGTCGAAGCAGTGCGCCTTATCGCGGTGGGAGGTGTAGATCGTTACGCTGTGGCCTCGGTTCTGAAGGGCTAGGGCGACGTCGATTATTAGCCGCTCGGCACCTCCGATACCCAGATCCGGGTGGATTATTGTCACATTGGACCGTTGGAGGCCCATGGTGAGTTGGTTTTAGAGCTTGGGGATTGGAGCCGTTGCGACAAGCTTAAAGACACGTGGGGTATACGCGTCATGTGATACAACTATGTCACAGTGTTATCTCACCAATTTAATTGATCCTTTTGTCTAACGTTTTGTTTCAATGATATTTTGGCTCATTGCAACGGTCAATACCTAGAACATAGTCTCTTGGATTGTGGTGTTCTTAAGGCCGTGGTGACCTCGGTGTTGTGAACGGACTACCTAGGTACAATATATCTTGACTAAACGGCAAGTTTATAATTAATTAATACAACATAGTCCTCGGTGCAAAGCAATTAAGGACAATGTAGAATGGTCTTTAACCAGAATACTTCAACAAAAGTAGTATGAATCTCGAATTATCTATTTGCTCTCAAGAGGTACCATGAATCCGATAGAAGACAGCACACAAGATATAAAACCCAGCGGCGAATAGCAAGAACGAGTAAGTGCCAACCCAATTCTTTTGCATCGTTCCTCGCAAAGGGGCGAAGAACGCACTAAATATAAAAAACAGAATATTGACCATGTGCAGGAGTCTTTGGAACCGTAAAGGTATATGGGACAGATCAAATTCAATTGTCAATGAGAAAAGAACAACCCCCCAGATACCAACCAATGCAATGGCAATAGGTAGGGAAAAGGATTTCAGCCCGTCTAGGAGGTTGGGCGTGTTGCTCGCGTAGCAGACAAGGACCAACATGAGAAGGCACATGAGCAGGAAATAAAGTATTACTGCGCCGAGAGTCTGGACATGATCATCCAAGTTGCTGTCGGGATCATCTGCCTTCCTAGAGGTTCCATGCGTGGAAGTATTCGGACTCATCGGCTGGGACTCAAAGTGGGATGATGCACTGTAGCTTGTGGCTATCTCGGGTTGTTCGTCATCTAGTCGTATCCCGTTAGAATCTATCTGTATCGAAAATTCGGAGCGTTGAAAGTGCAGGGCGTACCGTGAGTGAAGTACTTGACGATTGTGATCAGAGGCGCAAGCAGTAAAACGAGGGCCACGACCTGTCCAAACCCCCAGCCGGCTTCTCTCTCATCAGAGTCCTGTACCATTGTAAATCCTGAGATCCTGTTGTTTTCATACACATGTCTCCCAACGATTCCCAGCACTCCGAATAGACGGATGGTACCCCAAGCGAACCCGGCTACTAGCCAGGACACCTTGTTCATTGTCAGATGAAAAAAGAAAAATGACTAGACAAGGTACACATGCACACTCACTTCTAGAAACATCGAGGACCACCCATCTAGGAAGAGACGTGCCACGAAAAAGGTCGTCAGCAGAGGACGGTAGAAAAGCGTACGTTTCAGGCTCTTGCGGGAGCTACCGAAACAGCACCAACTGAAAGCGATGCTTAACAAACGACGCGCTTGCATGCCGAGCTTAGCTCTAGCTTTTCCGCATACACCCACGGAAATAGTCTTATGCGATTTGACTATACGGGCCACAAACCCAAACACCATCAGCAGTATGGAGAAAACCATTGCGTAGTACGTCACGGTTGATCTCGGACCAGAGCCCATCTGGCACCTCGCGGGTCTAATGACACTGAATGCCATGTCTTCGTTGACAGAGTCGGACCTATGCAAGGAAGTCCAATCATACCCACCCGTGAATGAGAGCGCCACAGTCAGGAGTATGACCAGAACAGCCATACAAAGCAGTCTCCATATGCGCTGGATCGAATGGTTGTACAGATGGTTTCGGAGAAGTGTCAGACACGCCAAATGAGTAAGACTAGAAAACCAGGCCAGATCGACGATAACCATCCAGTGGAAGGATGAAAGGCCCTGTGGAAGTTGCGTATACCCACTTATGAGTATCGAGAGTCCAGTTACAATTTGGAGGTCACTCATTGCAAGGATGCACTATAGAATGTCAGTTGGGTCGATTTTGGCTCAGACCAAAGGGTATCTATACCTCAGTAAAGCCTTTCCCGACTTGGGAATTAACGCGGACCTTGCGAGCGCCCATCAACCGCTTAGGTATACGTCGCACGGTCCGCAGGATTATTGTGTCTATTGGGTTGGGACGATATGACTGGTTTAAAGGGTAATCTGTCTTCCTAAACGGATCCAGAGCTGGTTCGTAAACCACGAAGAAGTGTATGATAATGAGCAGCACTGCAATACCGGCTGTTGCGACATAGTTTGCAATTACCTAGGGATGAATTAGTTACAAGGTTGCTGGTACTGATAAATATATGTACGTGGTGACATACCCCTTGACCAGTGATGTCGGGGTCTACCGATATGGGAGGTTGCGGTCCCGAGCATTTGTAGGGCATAACTCGAAAAGCAAGAGACGTTGAAATGCAGTTGAGGCTATGCATTTGTTTTGTTTTGTCTCAATTTGCCTTGACCACGTGGCTTAGAATGTCGATCTCTAAATCTCCGCACAGCCTACGGAGTACAGTTGCACCTATTCTCAAGAATTAAGAATCAAGAATTAACTTATCAAATTTGTACTCTACAGTCTGAGCGAGATAGGAAATAATCTGGCATTGAAAACTTCATTGACAAGAATGCGCGAAAAAAAAGCAACTCAATATGAACGAGTGAACATCCATATGAAATTCAAGAGATCAAAGCGAGAGCTGACAGGATTCCCCCGATTGCGACACAAAGATTCAACGCGAATGAACCTGGAAACAGCCGATGGAATGTACAATATCGAGGATATTCAGCATAGGGACAATAAAAAAAGGTCGATAAAAGATCTACCAGTCATGATGGATTCATGAGTGCAAGTGAGAAAAAAAAGGGAATATGTGAAGAACGTGGTGGGAAAGGGGGGTGTTAAGGGGCTATTGGACAAGGTATTGACGGAATTGATGGGAAAGTGACAAAAAAACGTGAAAGCTCATAATACAGGGAAATGGGTGAACTGATCGGAATCAATAAAATAAGGGGGTATGGAACAAAGGACGAAGTAAAGAAGAAAAGAAGAGTAACAGAGAAGATAAAAAGTGTACAACCAGAGGAAAACGATAAAGACAGGTGAGAATGCGATTGCTTTTGTTGCTGGGAAAGCTCAAGCGCTCGAGCAATATCAGAGTCAAAAACGCCTAGAAGCAGTTGAGGGTGCTCTTCTTCTTTTTCTTGTTGAGGGCGAGCATACGCTCTTCGAGTTGAGCGCGGGCAGCCTCCGCTTCACGGCGGGCATTCCGCTCCTCTTCGACTGCCTGGAGCGACAGACGGGCAGAGCTGCGTTCCTTGCGGAGGGAGGATAGTTCATCCTCGAACTCCCAGGCCTTCTTCTTCCAGGCCTCGCAGTCAGCCTTGACCTTGGTGCTCTGAGTTTCAAGGTCGCCGAGGGCCTCTTCCAAGGTGGCAGTTAGCTGCTTCTCGGCATACAGGTGCTTCTCGATGGTTCGGATTCGAGCTTCCTGGTCCTCGACCATCTGAATGTTGCACAGCTCTTTGCTGGCATGCCGAGAGCTGGGCGGAGACACACTCGAGGCGCCGTTGGACTGAGAGGCAATGGTAGGGAGGGGAGGGAGAGGGATCGCCGGTGGAGGCGAGGGGAGAGAGGCAGCGGAAGAGCTCTTGCGGAGGTTGGATGTGAGAGAGCTGCTGCGGTCGTGGGAGGCATCGGCGGTACCGGAGTTCTTGATTTGAAGCTCAAGCTGCTCGATACGTACTTGGTAAGTCTCAATGTCCCCTTCGTAGATAACAATCTTGGCCTTGGCGTCTTCCAGGGCCTGGTCACGCTCCTGCTGAATGACGGACAGACGGTTGTGATGCTGATCGAAGCTGTTCGTAATTTGCTCTTCCAGCTCCTCCACGAGACGCACACTCTTCTGCTTCTCGATCGTAATCTCCTCAACCAGGGCTTCCTTCTTCTTGACCTGTTCGTCCTTCTGACGAAGAGTGTCCTCCAACGTAGCCACCAAGAGAGCCAGCTCATTAACCTTGGCGTCCTGGACGTTGTGTTTGTTGGTTATCTCGTCCAGACGGCTCTCGGCGTCCGCATTGGCCTCCAGCTGCTTCCGAAGATCTTCATTGGTGCCCATAAGCTCAGCATACTTCTCGGAGAAGTGCTGCTTCTGGGCCAAAACATCTTGGATCTGATCTGTCAGGTTGTCGGCTGAGACCTCGGAGTTGAGGAGAGTCGACACAGCCTTGAGCAGTTTGACCAACTCGTCACGCGACTCGGCAATATCTTTCTGCAAAGTGGCCATGGATTGCTCATGCTCAGCATCCTTCTCGACGAGACGAGCATCGTACTCGGCCTGGACAGCGGCCTTAGTCCGTTCCTCCAACTCAGCCAGCTCACGCTTGTGAGATTCCTGGAGAGTATCCAGCTTATTATTGTGAGAATCGACAACCGATTTGTGAGTAGAGATTTCCTGCTCGAGCTCGGCCATCCGAGAAGAAAGACCCAAGTCAACAGCGCCGGCATTAGCCCCTTCTTCGGTAGTGGTCTGGGAAGCCAGTTGCTCCCGGGCATCGGCGTGAGACTTCTCCAGACTGGCAATTGTCGCAAGTTGAGTAGCAATAGTAGACTTGTGGTTCTCGATATCCTTCATTAGGTTATCCACAAGATCCTGCTGCTCGGCGCGGCCACCCTCAAGCTCTTGAGCAGCGACTTCTTTCTCGGTAGAGCCGGCATCGGCGGAAGCACGCTCAGAGCGCATAGCAGCAACCGAAGCCAAAGCACCCTCCAGCTCAGCAAGAGTACTAGTGAGCTGAGACTCAGAGGACTGCAGAGACTCCAAAGCACTCTTGTGCTTGCTTTGCCATTCCGTGAGCTCTCCTTGCAGAGCACCGATCTTCTGCTCCTGCTCCTCAGCACCGGCGTCCATTGCCCGGGTAGCACTTTCTTGGGACTTCAAAAGACCCTTCAAAGTATCAATCTCGGTCAACAGCTCCTTTTGGCGGGATTCGTGAGCGTCTCGAAGGTGCTCGATCTGTCTTTCCTGGGAGACGACTTGGTCGCGCAGTTGCGACACCAGAGCCATGTCCACAGGCGAGGCACCTTGCAAACTCGACCGTTCTCTGGTTAGGCCAGAGATAATAGTCGCTTTCATCTCCATTTCTTTCTTAACACCCTGGTTCTCAGCTTCAAGGGACTGGAGGCGCTCCATACGGCTTTGCAACTCGTGCATGATTTGATCCATGTGATAGTCAAAGTTGTGCATCGCGTCCGGCTTCTCAGCAAACTCCTCGGACGCAAGGAGGCGGAGACCTGTAAGGGCGCGGGTGGCACGGTCAACTCCTGACAGAAGGTTCTGGCTAGTCATGCGGCGGATCATTTTGAAACCGGGAGTTGCAGGGGTGAGCTCGACTTGGCGCGCTGGGCCTCGGCTTTCAGCTTCTCGACCAGTACAAGAATCTGCTCATGCTCGGTTTGCAGCTCCGTGTATTTCTGGGTCATGAGTTCAGCACTCTCTTGATGCTCGGCGAGCATCTTGCGCATGTTCTCAGACTCTTCAGAGTCCACCTGGCGGGCCGACAGCACCTGCTCCTGCGGGGTTGAGGGCGTGGATGAAATTGCCTTCGATCCATCCTCACAGGATGCGTGCAAAATGGATGGCTCCCCGGCCGAGGATAATTCCGAAGAGAGTGATTGCGAGAATGAGTGTTGTGCTCCAGACTTCGAGGTCGGAGTGCCTCCATTTCCTAAAAAAGTCACCGGGCGCGGCGAAAGTTCGTTTTGAACGCTGGGTGCTGGATGGCGGGCCTCGTCAATTTTGTCCTGGCGAAGCTCTTCAATGGCCTTGAGAGCCTGCTCGTACTTGGATTCGAGGTTCTCAAAGTCGTTAATGGTGTTCTCATGCTGCAGACGCAGGTCGAGAAGCTCCTGGGTGACAGTCTCAAGCTTATCGGCAACAAACTTGGACTGGGCGGGACTTGCGATGGGGTCCTCACGAAGAGCCTCCGAGCGACGTGCCTCCAGCTTGCTAGTTGCGGTTTCCAGGACCTTCAAGTCCTCATCCGTCTCCTGCTCGACTTCTCCAATGGACTCGAGCTCTGCGTCCATGGTCGGCTCGAGAAGATCCTCATCTGATTCCGGAATGGCTGTCTCAACTGCTTCGCTGAGTACGTCCAGAGAGGGCGTGTGTCTATGAGCGGTCGGCATATCCCTGGGCTGGTGATAGTGTGGGTAGTCAATGCCCTTGGCACCATCGTGTCTATCCCGACCATCTTGGTGGTCCAGCTCGCTGAGTAGACGGTCTAGCTGCCCGAGGCCTCGCTGGCGCTCAATGACATGTTCCAGACGCATCACCTCGCGCTGCATAAGTTCCATGTCCTGATCACCCTCCGCGAGTCGTTCTTCAAGCGTCGAGATGTATTCCTCGCAGCTGGCTTCACTATCGCGGGCCCGGCTTAATTCCTTGCGCAATTCGGCAACAATGGCGGCGTGCTTCTCTTCGCCTGTAGAGTGACCATCAAGCCTAGACTCCAGTTCGTGGAGGTAGGTCTCAGTGTTGGATTCCCGCTCCTGCATTTTGTAAACACGCGCCTGAAGCTGATCTTTGATAGCCTCGATATAGGCGCACTTGGTCTCACGCTCGAGTAAATCAGTCTCCGTGGTAGCGAGGGAGGCGCGTGTTTCAGAGAGTGAAGCCTCCAGGCTCTGAATGGTCTTTTCGTACTCCAAAACCATCTGCTCCACGGACTCGGCAAAGGACTTGGATCGCTGCATTCTCTCAACGGAGTTCTTCCCAATTTCGGAGGTAGCGTCGTCCATTTCGCCGTTGGGGGCTGGCGACTGCGAATCATTCGCCATATTCGAAATCAATTTGGCGTGGCGCTGGCTAAGAGAATTGTAGCTTTCTTGGACGTCCAACAACTGATTCTGAAGGTGTTTTTCACGTTCGTTCTTGCGTTCACTTCGTTCGGTAGACCCTCCTTCCCGTCGCTCAGATCCTTCGGAGTTGCGGATCTGTAGGCGCAAGAAAGATATCTCGGACTTGAGTCGCTCAATCAAAGCTTGCTTGTCGCCTTCGTCAGCAATTTGCTGAATGTGAGGTTTGCTCTGAATGGCTCTGGCGCGCTGGGCATATGATATTGTGTTTAGAGTCTCGCTCATGTGGAAATCGGCGGGGGTCACACAAGCAATCATGTACGTGTAGGCGGTTCCACCGAGCGAATCCTGGAGCAGCCGGGTAAGCTTTGAATCACGGTACGAGACGTGAGACCCGTGTTGACGTGAAGAGAGCTGCGAGATGACCTTTCCGAGCGCGGCCAAACCAGCGTTAATAGAGATACCCTCCTTCGCACGTTCTCCGGAGGCACCTGTGTTCTTCAGCCGCTCGCTACCCGCTAGATCCACGAAGTGCAGTTTGCTATCGACAGTAACTGATTCCCCAGTGTTGAACGTGTC